CATGTATATACTGCAGCCGTCACTCTTTTCAGTGCCTAAAGGGGCAGTTCACCCAAAAATGGAAATTCTGTCATCATTTACTCACACTCACAGCAAAATACAGCTCATCTCTTTTTGTACATAAAATAAAAATCTATGCGAATTTAAACAATTCAAAGTAATCCATGCAACTCCAATTATTTAAATCAAATTTCTGGATTTCTTTACTGTTATTTCCTTTTTGAAGCTTAAAATATCTGGACCCCATTGACTATAAACAATGATATGTAGCCTACTTGGGCTCTAATGTTAGTTAGGTGAAAAATTGTTAACACACACACAAATGTATTAACATTAGCAAATCAAAATAAACCTATTAACAGTGATATAGTTATCAAGCACTGTAACTTATGTGGGTAACATTAGGAGTTATCACTCCCAAAACTTACAGTGTGTATATGGCCATTTAGATGCAGTTTTTAAATCACAATTCAGACTAGCACACCTAACCCGTGTCCTCACCTCCCTCATTTGCTTTGTCATCAGTTATTTCCACTGGGATCTAGGTATCTGAAGGTTAATTGTTTAACTGTTAAACAGAGCAGAGCTCAAAACTGATTAAATATTTCACGGCTCCAGTGGCGAAATGCAAGAACAATTTGATGTATAAAAATACAGCCCATTTGCAACAAGGTGTTGTATAGAATTGAGTGAGATTTGAGCTAAAAAAAAAAAAAATCCATAGAAGAACGCTAAAGATTTGTCACAGCATGTTGCATGGGGATTGGCGCTACAGTTGCACGCACACCAGTCATTCATACACAGACAACTCACGAAATAAAAAAAACTTTGACCAGAGAAATCCAAATACTGTATCTAGTTATCACAGAATGATCAAATGTCCAAGTTTTACTGCACAATCACCACTGCAGTACAGACAGATCTGTAAATTCTTCATGTAACATACAGAGCCCAATTTGACTTCAGGGTGAATCTGAAGCCAGAGCAAGATAAATATTTAGCTGTATCCGAGATGGTGATAAAATTAAAATACTGTTGGAATGAAAAGCTGATTTAATGGAGAAATGTGTGAAACTGCATCAATACTTTTACCAGTACACTAACTCCAAATCACTACAGCTATTGATGGTGCAAAGAGTAGTCCAGTTTTAACATCCTTCTATCATGCTGGCCAAATTGCTCACACACACACACACACACACCATCATCCAAGTCCTTTATTTTAGTCTCACTGGAGCACTGGCGGCTTTAATGTTGTTCCTAACTGTAAGTCCGCATTCACTTGGGAGATTTTTTTTTCTTTTTCTCTTACACCACTTTTCCATTCACCCTTCTTCCAGACTCCTTTACCAAAGCTGTCTTCCTGTGTATGTGGGCGGTGCGGATGGAACCTGTGACAATAAGAAACAAAATTATCCAATTAGAAGCAGGCAGGTTTAAAGACCAGAAATTTACAGAAGATAAGTGGTGTTTTATAAGTGGGAAAACACCTCTCAAGTGCATTACACGGAACATACAATCTGTCAGCACGTGAAGAGGCTGACTGTCAGTGCTCTCCAAACTGGTCCTCGCCATCTAGTGATGCCTTCGGCTTGCATAGTTGAGGTTTAAAAGACACTTAAAGGGTTAGTTCACCCAAAAATGAAAATTAGGCTGCGTTTTACTCACCCCCGATGCATCCTAGGTGTGTATGACTTTCTTCTTTCAGACGAATCCAGTCGGAGTTATATTAAAAATTGTCTTTGATCTTCCAAGCTCTATCGTTGCACTCAGCTGGTGTTGCATTGCTTCTGTCCAAAAGACGTGAAATAAAAAGCACCCTTCCATAAAAAAAAAGCGTCTCACACGCCTCCAGGGGTGAACAAAGGCCTCCTGTAGCGAATCGATGTAATAATCACTGTAATAAATAATCACTTGAATCTAGCTTGCGCTCACTGTTGTAAAACGGAAGCAGTTCCGGGGGAATGACGTATGAGGTCAGCTTTGTGCATGCTCCGCTCAGAAGTGACGCACGTGGAAAGATCGAAACAAAACAATGGTCACTAATTAGAAGTACAAAACGAGGATTTGTAAAGAAGAATGTCGGAGGATTTCGGTATAAGTCAAGAGGAGACTGGTTTTCCTTTGCTGAAGTAAGGAAACTTTGCTTCTTTTGATCCTGTAAACAAATGTTGGTTTTCACGAGAC